GAGGATTTCGCACGGCCGTGCACATGGCACATTTGGCCGTGCCATTTTTAGCGAGAGCTCGCACGGCCAGGCGGACAATTCCGCACGGCCGTGCGAGACAATGCTATGCCCGTGTCGGACGCACGGCCAGGCCAGGCAGAGCGCACGGCCGTGCAATGTGCACTTTTGGCCGTGCGCTTTTTACCGAGAGCTCGCACGGCCAAGGGGGGATTTCCGCACGGCCGTGCAGGTTGAGGACCTGGCCGTGCGACATTCTGGAGCCCCGAAATCAACCTATTTTCACTCAAAAACGACACTTGACTCTGGATCAACGTCTCAAGACTAAAAAACACACAAAATCAAAGGAAAAAGAGTAAGAAAATGCAAACCTCGGTGGGGTTGCCTCCCCACAAGCGCTTCTTTACCGTCTTTTAGCTGGACGCCAGTATGGATGCTCAGGGAAGTGTAGGATCAGGTGCCTTCAAGAGCGGATCCACATCGCTCTTGAGGTACAGCTTCAAATGGTGGCCATGTACGCGACGAATGTGGCCACCTGCGTTTGCCAGCTCGACTTGGCCATCCGGCAAGATGCAAGCGAGTGAATACTCGGATGGCCAAGGTGGGGGCGGGACCAGCTCATAGTGGTCTCCGGCTTTCTTTCGAGCAGGCTTAGCTGCCTGCAGTTTCGGCCGCCACTCCTCCGCGATCTGTTCTTTTAATGATGGAGTGGTCCGGAGTGGCGGCGAAGGTGTGGGAGGCGGGTCCTGCAAAATAGGCAGCACAGAAGGATACACGACAGACTCGTGCTCCTGGTGAGATACAGCATGCAGAGGTAACGAAGCAGGTATAGTGTCAGCAACAGAAAACGTTATTCGCTCCTCGCCATCCCTCAAAACTAAGGTCCCATCATGCACATCTATGAGAGCCTTGGCGGTGGCCAGGAAAGGCCTTCCCAGTATAAGAGGCACTTCTGTGTCCTCACTGATGTTTAGGATAACAAAATCCACTGGATATGTGAATTTGCCAACCTTAACCAGAAGGTCTTCCACTATGCCTTTATGATGCACTACAGATCTGCCAGCTAATTGAAGGGTCATCCTAGTAGCACGGGGTTCGCCTAGGCCTAGTTTTTTGAACAGTTGATATGGCATAACATTGATACTAGCACCTAAATTCGCCAAGGACTTCTCTACATGCAATTTATCAATAGAGCATGGGATAGTAAAACTACCTGGGTCCTTTCTCTTCTGCAGAAGCTTGTTCTGCAGAATAGCCAAGCACTCCTCGCTGAGCTCCACAGTGGCCAGCTCACTCAGCTTCTGCTTATTGGAGAGAAGCTCTTTGAGAAACTTCGCATACTTCGGCATTTGCGAGAGTGCCTCCAGGAAGGGCACTTGGACATTCAGCTGCTTCAGCATTGCCGTGAATTTGGCAAACTCAGTCTCCAGTCGGTCCTTGTGCAACCGAGTAGGAAAGGAAAGCTGTGGTACATACTCCTTCACCACTGGTTGCGGTTTAGGAGCAGGCACCTCAACCTCCTTCTCCATTTCTTCCTGATTAGCTGGAAGTGCTGAAGCAGGGGTCTCTCTTTCCGGTTTCCGAGCAGGGGGATCAACAGTCATCTTGCCACTCCTGGTCATGATGGCATTGCAGCGCTCATCCGGGGTCGGCGGGTGAGGGATGGTCTGCCCTGGTAGAGTACCAGGAGCCCGTTGAGCCACTGCCTGGGCCACGCTCCCCAGCTAGGTCTGGATATCCTGCAAAACAGCCTGCGTGTTCCTCTGACCAGCTTCAAGGGCCAGGAATTTACCCGAGGCCTTCTCCATGAACTGCTCAAAGGTGTTGAATTTCTGAGCACTAACACTGGCGAGAGAACCCACCAAGTCCCGCAGTTCAGCCATCTGATCAGTCTGCACTGGGGCAGCAGGGGCTGTACCTGGCTGCTGGAAAGGTCGCGGCTGTGATTGAGCAGCGGGCCCCTGCATGGGCTGATAAAGAGGCTGTTGTGGCTGCTGGAATTGCCCCTGTCTGGGCTGATATGGTGGCCGCTGGAAGCCTGGTGGTCCCTGGGGGACTGGTGGTCTGGAATTTGGCCCAGCCCAGGAGAAGTTAGGATGCTGGCGCCACCCCTCATTGTACGTGTTGCTGTAGGGGTCATTGCGCCTGACATTATTGATGAAGTTCACCTGCTCCTGGGGTGTGGTTGATTCCTTCATCGCCTGGCAGTCTTCCACCGTGTGATGGGTGCTTTCGCACCATTGGCAGAGCATCGCCTGCTGCTGCCCGGTCCTTGGAATCATTCCTGAACGATCGATAGCTGAGACCAGCTTCGATACTACCTGCACCAAATCAGAGGGATGGGCTCCCACAGAATGTACACCTCGGCTGGGTGCTCTCCTCGACCTCCTGGCAGTGCCCCAATCGTAACCATTCTCCGCCATCTCTTCGAAGAGTTGATTCAGCTGTGGCGGGGTTTTTGTCAGCATGTTCCCGCCACAAACTGAATCAATCAGTTGCTTGTCCTCCGGGAAGAGGGCGTGATAGAAGGTGGCCACCTTGAACGCATCGTTGAAACCATGATTGGGACACCTGAGAAAGAGGCTGGTGTATCTCTCCCAAGCATCCCTAATGGTCTCATCCTCATCCTGAGAAAAATGTGTAATCTGCTTCTGGAGATCAGCTGTCTTGGATGGAGGATGGTAGCGGGTGAGGAACTTGTCCGCCAGGTTGGCGAACGTGGTGATGGAGCCCGGAGGTCGAGTGTCTAGCCACTCATTGGCCTGCCCCTCCAGAGTGAATGGGAAGTATCTCAGCTGGATGGCATCTGCTGGTACCCCATTGATCTTGATTCCATCGATGAGCTCGTGGAATCGCCTGAGATGTGATCGAGGGCACTCTCCCTCCTTACCACGGAACACCACTGAACCGCGCAGCATGGTGATCACTGAGGTGCTCACCTCAAAGTTGTTGGCTGGAACATGAGGGTGTTGAATGGCTGACCTCATGTCCGCAGCCCTAGCGGTCCAGTAGGATCCCATGGTCTGCTCATCTGGGTTGATCACTGCGTGGTTCTGCGGATCACCCATCTCTCCTTCTTCTTCTTCTCCGATCTGCAGCTGTGATAGCGCCTCCTCCGCAGCCAGTCGCGCCTTTAGAGCCCGCTTGAAGTTCCTGCAAGTTCGTTCAAGCTCCTGGTCTAATGGTAGTAGTTCTCCCGACTGGCTACGGGTCATGCACTACCTGCACACAATCAGCAGAAGCAACCCGTGAAGGCACACAGGTGAAAGAGATAAAATGCAGTAAATAAAAAGCTAGAGTAACAAATTCTCACGTTTCCCCAATAACCTAGAGGGGTCCCCGGCAACGGCGCCAAAAACTTGACACGCCAAAACACAACACCAAACTGCGACCAAGTGTAATCGCAGTCCGGGAATGCAGTAACAGGCAAGTTAAATTATCAACCCGGGGTCTAGATCTACTGCTTACTCCGTGATTCTCTATTATCTAGCAAACTAGTTCGAGTGATTGTTGTGAAAAGTAAAAGCAACAAGAAAGCAGTAGATTGTTCGGTTTTCAAATTCAGGAAAGAGTCACTCGGGATTGAGTCCCCCTAATTCCCTGGTTAGGTTCAATTGTAATTCCCTGGGTTGATTTACTGTTGATTAGACTGCGGAAGATCCGACAGTAGCTTGGAATCTCTTAAGCTGACCAAGCTCTCTCAGTCTAACTACCCGGCAGACGACTAGTCTTCATCGGGAAAGAAAGCTGAGGCTATGAACACAGAACTCCACTACTGGAATTGAATTCCAGTACAAAGCAGTAAACTGGCTAACTCTCGTATAGCCAATCTCCTACTATCGAATGAAGGGACTCTAACAACCTAATCAGATTCTATCTATCTCAGGTTGCAGCAGAAATTGAGAAAAGCTGATCAGACTCCAATCAATTCAATAAACATGCATCATTCGATTAAAATCAAACAGTAATATCATCCCAAGTCATTACAATCAAATCCCTAACACAAGGAACTAGGGTTCTTCATACCCAAGTGAGAGAAGGGTTCTACTCCATAGAGAGAGAAGAGAAAACAAGAATCGGATTAGTCATACTCATAACGATGAGGAAAATCTGCTCCGGGACGATGATTTCCACTCCTATGACGATCTCCAAGCTCGATTCGATGAAATCCAGCTCTAAGACAGCTTCCAGGATGTGTTCTTCGCACTTTCTCTCTCTAGGGCTCTGTTTTTGCTCTGAAAACACGATTCTCCCACTTTTGGCTCGGAATAGGCTCTAAAACCAGGATTTCCCGACTCGCACGGCCAAGGTGCACGGCCGTGCAGATCACCCACTTGGCCGTGCGAGTCCAAAACGCGGCGTATCAATTAGTTCGACCTCAGGCTTCTCACACGGCCAGGGTGCACGGCCATGCGATCTTCAGGGGTTGCCCGTGCGTGGCCTCGGCATAAAGCGCACGGCCATCTTGCTCACGTGCACGGCCGTGCGGTGCCATGGCTTGCCCGTGCAGCTTCCTTGAAACCTCGCCATTCGTCCGATCTTCGTCCAATCGGCCCCAGACTCGCTCCTAAGCCTTCATTCACGTACTAGGACCTGAAATATCACAAACAAGCACAACCTAGCGTGAAATCGGCCTAAAACACGAGAATCAACACCTCAAACGGTGTAAGAACGGGGGTAAAAACATGTGTAAATGACGCTCTATCATGTATTGCGACAGCTTGAGTACAATATGCTTGGTCAAGGATCAAGTCCACCATGAGAAGACTAAACACACCGACGTGAGGTATCATTTCTTGAGGACATATAAGAGGATTAAGGTGAAAAAGGTTGGCACAGCCGACAATCCCGTTAACATGTTCATGAAGCCGGTTCCACATGGCAAGTTCCAACACTGTTTGGAATTGCTAAATTTCTTGATGGAAGGAAGGAGAGAAGGATCAGAGTACATAAGAGATTTCAAAGGAAGAGGATACAAGTCAAGGTGGAGATTTGTTGATGTGTGATAGACCGATAATTACACATGTTTTCACCCCTATTCTGAAGCCGTTTGAGATGTGGATTTTCGTGTTTTAAGCCGAGTTCACGCTAGGTTGTGTGTTTATGTCATATTTCAGGACCCGGCATTGGAATCGAGGCGGAGAAACGAGTTCTGGGTCGAAAGGAGCAAAGTTGGGACGAAGTGGGCTGCTGGAGGAAAATACCCGGCCAAGACCAAGAATACCCGGCCGGTTATTATCATTTTGGGCGACCGTGAGAATCAGAGAGGGGCCCGGGCGTGAAGGCAAAATCCGCGGTCGGGGATTATTGGGGCAGACCGGGGATTTTCCCCTGGCATGAAACGCGCGTTTTAAATAATACCCGGTCGAGACCCAAAATACCCGACCGGGTATCGTGACAGGCAGCCAATTTAAAGGAGAAGAAGGCCAACATTCAAGGGATCCGAGTTTTAGAGAGACAGAGCGATTCCTAGAGAGAGAAAGCGACGAACTAGAGTTCCCAAGTGCCATAGATTGATCTTCATCACCATTGGAGCCCGGCTTGAGCTTGGAGAAGTGCCGATTAACGTCCAGGAGCAGAAATCCATCTTCACAGTATGATTTCCGTGTTTGAATATGTTTTTGCTTCTTTCTCCATGGAGTAGTTTCCCCATTCATCTGGGTATGGGGAACCCTAGATTTGTATGTTAGGTTTGATTGTATGAACCCAAGTACAGAGTTTATGAATTGATTATATTCGATTGAGGTTTGAATGATTGAATGACTTGAATCCTGATCAAATTCCTGTTGTTTCTGCTTTGACCTAGAATGAGAATATATGCCTAGGTTGATAGAGTATCCTTAATTGAAGGTAGTGAATTGGTGACTTTAGTCGAGGAGCCAATTCGCTATTCTGTACCGAATTCAATTCGGTAGTGGGGGTTTGGTTCGTAGGGCCTCAATTTGTTTACTCCGGTGGAGGTTAGTCGCCCGCTAGAGACTCAGATTGAGAGGGTCTGAAGACCTTTAGTCGAGACTTCAGACTGTTTAAGAACCTTCCGCAGTATAATTTTCATGAAAACTGAACTTGGTAAATTGCAATCCGGCTTAACTGCAGTCTAGGGGGAACCATATCCGGGTGACCTCTCTTGACTTGAAAACAACCGTTTAGTTACTTTGCTTGTTTGTTAGTTTAGACTTGCACTAAAGTTTTACTGCTAGATAACAAGAATTCACCGAGTCGTCATCAAATCTAGGACCCGGGTTGACATTAAAACCCAAACCCGCTATACTACGCTTTAGGAAGTGGTTACACTTGGCCATTTTCTAGAGTGACAGTTGGAGTGAGTCAAGTTTTTGGCGCCGTTGCCGGGGACGGCTAGGTTGTTGAAGAAAAGTGATTTCTGTTACTTTAGCATTTTCATTTTTCGCATTGAGTCTTTGTTCTTTCCCACTTGTGCCTTCACGGGTTTGCATTGCTTGATTGTGTGCAGATAGTGCATGACCCGTAGCCAGTCAGGAGGTTTACTGCTGTTGGATCCAGAGATTGAACGCACCTGCCACCAACTTCGGAGACAACAGCGAGCTAGACTGGCTACGGTGGAGCGTATAGACGGCCATTTGAGCAGCGAGTCCGAGGACGAGTACGAGATGGAAGGCGATCACAACCCACCTCCAGTGAATCAGCTCTTGGGGAACGAACCCAATCCCCAGGGAGATGGGGTTCATCATCATCCACCACCACCGGGTCCCACCTTGGAGTACTACTACACTCCACAGATTGCTGACATCCGCCCGGTCATCCTCTATCCGCCCATTCCAGGAAACAACTTCGAGATCAAGCCATGCTGGATTCAACTCATTACATCCTCCATCCAGTTCCATGGCTTGAAGGATGAGGAAGCCCGGGTGCATCTTTCCCGTTTTCTGCAGCTGACAAACGGGTTCAAGCTCAACGGTGTTCCGGATGACGCAATCCGCCTTCACCTCTTCCCCCATTCTCTGGCGGGAAATGCTAAGAGGTGGTTGGAGACCCAGCCCCCATTGTCCATCACTTCTTGGGACGATCTGGCAGACAAGTTCGTGCACAGGTACTATCCGGCATCGAAGACCACAGAGATTCAGCGGGAGATCACTCACTTCCGCCAAGAGCCAGACGAGTCACTTCGTGATGCATGGGAGCGGTACATGGGATATTTCTGGCAGTGTCCCCATCATGGCTTCAGTGATGCATTCACAGTGGGGAACTTCTACAGTGCCCTCACCCCAGAAAGCCAGAGGGTGATAGAGTCTCTATGCCCAGGAGGGGATGTTCTCACTAAGACTCCACCCGAGCTGAACCAGAAGATTAGTACCTTGGCTGCCCGAGATCATTCCTGGGGGCAGAACAGTAGAGGCAGAAATTCCCGGGACCGTGGTGTGCACGCTATGGAGGCCAGGTCCGGGTTAGAGCAGCAGGTGGCTGAGCTGGTGCAGACGTTGAAGCAGCCCAACAGTCTCCTTCCGGGCCGAGGTACAGCCTCCAGTAGCTCAGTGTCAGTGGTGTGAGAGCCCGAATTACCTGGTGGAGGACTGTCAGGCCATGAGGGAGTCCTCTACTCCCCAAGAATAGGTGGACTTCATCGCCAATGCTCGGCGCCTTGACCCATATAGAAATACCTACAATGAGGGATGGCGCCAGCATCCCAACTTTGCCTGGAGCAGCAACACCACTAAACCACCTGGTTTCCCAGCACCAGCGGGTGGTTTTCAGCAGAGGCAGCCCTTCCAGGCTAGGCAGGGGCCACCACCACAGCAGCAGCCCTGCCAGCCTAGGCAGGGGCAGCCATTCCAGCAACCCCAGCGTTATTATGCCGAGCCAGCAGCAGCTCCAGCTCTAGATAATCAGATGACGGATCTGAAAAACATTTTAGCGGCATTCATGACTACCAGCCAGGCAAATTTCGCCAGGATAGACTAGAGCATCGCCGCGCTGGAGGCAGGTCAGAGGAACCAGGGTGCTATACTGCAAGACCTCCAACACCAGATTGGAGGAATAGCCCGCCAGAACAACACCAGGGCACCGGGGACTATGCCTGCCACCACCATCCCCAACCCTCGCGCGCCGCACGAGCAGCTGGATGCCATCTTCACCAGGAGTGGTAGGCCCACATCGGCTGATCCTGCCCTGACCAGGCAGGACGAATCACCACCTGCTTCAGCACTTTCAGCCGATGATGCAGAAGTGCGGGTGGAGAAGGAAGCCCCTGCTCCCAAGCCACAACCAGTGGTTAAGGAGCACGTACCCCAGCTTCCCTTCCCCACTCGCCTACACAAAGACAAGCTGGAGACTGAGTTTGCCAAGTTTATGGCAATGTTGAAGCAGCTCAACATCAGCATACCGTTTGTGGAGGCACTGTCGAAGATGCCCAAGTACGCAAAGTTCATGAAAGATCTCCTCACCAACAAGAAGAAACTTGGGGATCTCTCGACAGTGCTGCTGAGCGAGGAGTGTTCTGCTATCCTGCAGAACAAGCTGCCCGAAAAGCGCAAGGACCCAGGGAGTTTCACTATCCCTCTTACTATTGGCAGCATGCATGTAGGCAAGTCCTTGGCGGACCTAGGCGCTAGCATAAACGTCATGCCATATAAATTGTTCAAAAAGCTAGACCTAGGTGAACTTAGCCCTACTAGGATGAGCATCCAGCTAGCTGATCGTTCCGTTGTGCATCCTAGGGGTATCATAGAGGACCTGCTTGTTAATGTGGGTGCATTCACGTATCCTGTTGACTTTGTTATTCTGGATATAAATGAGGATGTGGATGTGCCTTTGATTTTAGGGAGACCATTTCTTGCCACCGCCAAGGCCCTTATTGATGTGCATGATGGTAAACTGATACTGTGTGCTGGAAATGAATAGGCTACCTTTGCTGTGACTGAATTCGATCACTGTGCTATGATTGATGTCACACCTGTGCATGCTATTTCTGACCCGGTACACGAGCCTGTCGTGTATCCTTCTACACCTCTCATTTTGCTGGATCCCCCTCTCACTCCTTCGCCGCCGCTCCCTCCAGCCTCACCACCGAATAAAAAGCTCAAAGAGGAGTGGCGACCGAAGCAGCAGGTGCCTAAGCCCACTCGGAAGAAAGGTGGAGTCCACTGTGAGCTGGTCCTACCTCCTGCATCACGATCACCCTGGCCATCCGCGTACTCACTTGCCTGCATTCTGCCGGATGGCTAGGTCGAGCTAACCAATGCTGGTGGTTGCACCCGTCGGGTGCACGGTCACCACCTGAAGCTGTACCTCAAGAGCGATGTGGATCCGCTCTTGGAGGCACCTGTTCCTGCACCACGCTGATTATCCACCATGGGCGTCCAACTACAAGACGGTAAAGAAGCGCTTGTGGGGAGGCAACCCCACCACGGTTTTCATATATTTCTTTTGTTTTGGGTCGGATTGCCAATAGCTTTGGCTTTGGTTTGTTTTCTTTTGTTTTGGATGATGTAATATTGGGCTGACCATTGGACCTAACGTTTTGTGTTTGAGCTCTTTGGTTTCCTTTAGCTGTGCCTGTGTCCCGACTGGTCCTCTCTCCAGTCCGTTTCATCCTGACTGGTCCTTTTCCAGTGTCCTGCAGTCCGTGCACACCGGTAACATCGTTTCCCTTTCCTTCCCTCTTCTTCATTGAGGGCAATGTCGATCTTAAGTGTGTGTGTGGGGGGGGGTTGTTTATCTTTTGACTGCATTAGATCTGTTTGTGTGCTTGGAGCCTAGTCCACTGTCCAAAATTTTAAATTTGAGGGCTCCAAGTACGTGTTCCTTGCAATTGCCTGCTCAGTATGCTTTGAATTGACAGTCTCTGTAGTAATGTGCAACCTAGGGAGGTAGTGTAGCACTATGGAGGATGTTGATGCATTTAAGAAGTCTCATTTCTTCTTCATATTGTGTTGGTTGATTGAGTGAATTAGTGATCTTAGGACCCTTGAATTGTGTGGTGTTGTGGACTCTCTACCTGTCATGGACTCTTGTATCATGTTTTGAAGCTGAACAGGTGCTCGAAAATGTGCTTTAAAATGACGTCTCCCGTGCGAATAGGGCGAAAGTGTGTAAGGGGAGACGGGAATCCGTTCCCAATTTCCACCTACTACCTCCAGCCCCCTTACATGTCTTTCCCCCGCACGAGGCTCGAGACACCCGCTCCTGGCATGGCGGTAAGAGCTGGGCTCCCGCAAAACCTTTGCTAGGTGGGAGCCCCCGTTTTCCTAAAAACAGGTTGGAACCCTTGAAAAAAAAAAGAAGAAAGAAAAGGGGTTCCAACCATCTTCAAGAAGAAAATAGAGCACCTTGAAAAAATGTGAGTCCATGATATTTTGTTTTTGGGAGTCTCTTCATCCACGATTCATTTGTCCTCTGTTCACTATTTGCCATGATGCCGACTCGAGACTAGTGCTCTCGCCGAAGAAGCTATGAGATGACTTGTGCGTCGGTTGACCTCGTAAGCGGCTAAATGATCTAGGAAGTCCTCTACCTACGATCGGGGTTGTTTGTTGCTATAGAGGTCTGGAGAGTTGCATTGGTTTGAGTTAGGTTTGCTTGGGGACAAGCAAACGGTTAAGTGTGGGGGAGTTTGATAGACCGATAATTACACATGTTTTCACTCCTATTCTGAAGCCGTTTGAGATGTGGATTTTCGTGTTTTAATCCGATTTCATGCTAGGTTGTGTGTTTATATCATATTTCAGGACCCGGCGTTGGAATCGAGGCGGAGAAACGAGTTCTAGGTCGAAAGGAGCAAAGTTGGGACGAAGGGGGCTGCTGGAGGAAAATACACGGCCATGACCAAGAATACCCGGCCGGGTATTATCATTTTGGGCGCCCGTGAGAATCAGAGAGGGGCCCGGGCGTGAAGGCAAAATCCCCGGTCGGGGATTATTGGGGAAGACTGGGGATTTTCCCCTGGCATGAAACGCGCGTTTTAAATAATACCCGGTCGAGACCCAAAATACCCTACCGGGTATTTCGACCGGGTATCGTGACAGGCAGCCAATTTAAAGGAAAAGAAAGCCAACATTCAAGGGATCCGAGTTTTAGAGAGACAGAGCGATTCCTAGAGAAAGAAAGCGAAGAACCAGAGTTCCCAAGTGCCATAGCTTGATCTTCATCACCATTGGAGCCCGGCTTGAGCTTGGAGAAGTGTCGATTAACGTCTAGGAGCAGAAATCCATCTTCACAGTATGATTTCCGTATCTGAATTTGTTTTTGCTTCTTTCTCCATGGAGTAGTTTCCCCATTCATCTGGGTATGGGGAACCCTAGATTTGTATGTTAGGTCTGATTGTATGAACCCAAGTACAGATTTTATGAATTGATTATATTCGATTGAGGTTTGAATGATTGAATGACTTGAATCCTGATCAAATTCCTGTTGTTTCTGCTTTGACCTAGAATGAGAATATCTGCCTAGGTTTATAGAGTATCCTTAATTGAAGGTAGTGAATTGGCGACTTTAGTCGAGGAGCCAATTCGCTATTCTGTACCGAATTCAATTCGGTAGTGGGGGTTTGGTTCGTAGGGCCTCAATCTGTTTACTCCGGTGGAGGTTAGTCGCCCGCTAGAGACTCAGATTGAGAGGGTCTGAAGACCTTTAGTCGAGACTTCAGACTGTTTAAGAACCTTCCGCAGTATAATTTTCATGAAAACTGAACTTGGTAAATTGCAATCCGGCTTAACTGCAGTCTAGGGGGAACCATATCCGGGTGACCTCTCTTGACTTGAAAACAACCGTTTAGTTACTTTGCTTGTTTGTTAGTTTAGACTTGCACTAAAGTTTTACTGCTAGATAATAAGAATTCACCGAGTCGTCATCAAATCTAGGACCCGGGTTGACATTAAAACCCAAACCCGCTATACTACGCTTTAGGAAGTGGTTACACTTGGCCATTTTCTAGAGTGACAGTAGGAGTGAGTCAATGTGACTTGAATTAGACTATATGGCGCTAGGAATGCCGACTGGATGACTACAACAAATTCGGCCTATTATGACGTGGAGTTTTTGTCATATTAGATACTCATTTTGTCATATTAGGTTTTATATGACAAAAGGTGTTGTCACAAAGGTTTGTCATTTTATCACCGTTAGGATAGATCAAATGTGAAAAAAATTTAAAACAAGGTTGTCACATTTTCTTTTGGTATAGCTGAGGTTCTGGTAGTCTATTGTGACAAACAGAGATGTTATGACGACATATTTTGTCATTAATTTTTTCATAATTTGCTTATTTTGATAGAATTTTTTTTTTGTCATATTACAACATTATATTTTGACATCACATAATTGTGACGAACAATTTTTTTCATAAATGTATGCTGTGACGATTATATTTTGTCATAACTATATATTAGGACGAACGTATTTTGTCATAACTGCATATTGTGACCAATATGATTTATTCATCAATATATTGAATAAAATATAGTTGAAAAGATTTCTTGTAGCATGAAACTCCGATCAAACAAATACTAGTTACACATCTAACTATTTTTGATGTCCTAAGCAAACTAATCTAGGAATTCGGAATCCCTCGACAACGCAGGCCTATTGCTGTCACTGCTGCTGCCGCTTATATGTTCATACAATCTGTAGAGAAAACCTATTGAAAGCTGAGACGACGCAAACCTTGGCATTCTGCCCAAACTCCTTCTTGAAGATACCAATAGAATCAGGGCCACAAACATCATGAGTCATCAAGATATTAACGTCTACCCAAACATTTCCACCGGGACTCAAATGGGTCTTCTCAGAAGCTCTAGCCCAGATTTTCTCAGTCATTGATATTGCAGTCTTTGCCTGCATCAAAATCTCCCATTACCAAAATGAAAAGAATCGAACTGGTGGCTAGAAGGAATCACAGTGAAAGCACGTGAGAATAGGACACCAACCGAGCCAGTAGTTGTCGGGCTTACGCTCGGACTGCTGTGGCGCCATGACCGAAACAATTTTCTTCGAGATTGATTTCCTACATCTGGGAACCGAGAAAGGTGACGATGTTGTGGAGAAAGCCGAACGGCCCGATTCCTTCTGTCAAAATGGGAAAAAACCAAAAGACACAACAATTAAGAAAGGGAATCCTGATCGATGCTACTACTCAAAGGAAACACAAGATTAGAACTCAAGAGACAAGACAATTATGAATATGAAACACCAGAAAATACCTTGCATCAACATTCACATGTTTTGAAAGAAAACTCAGCATCTCTCTACTGTACAAGTAGATGTGTCAATTGGGCGGGTTAGGTGGTTCGGATCGGGTCTAACCGGGTTGGGTTCAATCGGGTTGCGAGTTCAATCTGGTCGATTTGAATTTAGATCGGGTTTAATTGGGTTGCAGGTCAATTGGGTTACAAGTCAATCAGGTCACTAGTCAATTGGGTTACAAATCGGGTCGGGTTACGGGTGCATTAAATTACGGGTTAATTCGGGTTCGGTCAGGTCGGATTATGATTTATTCGGGTCAACCCATTGGATCATTTTCTTCTTGACAGAAAATAATGTTTTACAAACTATCAATATATGAATATAAATTGTAGGTAATGATACAAAATTTAAGAAAATGATAATATGATAATATTTTACACATACAAATTAAATATCCATTATGTTAGTATAAAAACTAAATATAAATAAAATAGTGTATATAAAAGCTTTGTTGTTGGTTGTTATTTTTTTTTTTTATGGTGAGAGATTGTAACTTCACTTATTTTATTAATTTATAAAAAATTGAATCAGTAAAAAATTGAGAATGAAGTAAAAAGGGTAGACTATATGCTTATACATCTTGAAATGAATAGTCTTAATTAAACTAGTTTTTTACCCGCCGTTGGCCGGAAAATTTCATTCATCATTTATAAAAATTAATTTATCTATATGTTTAAATTTTTTTAATCTTCTAACTTTTTATGCTCACATTTTATAAGTGTGTATGCTATATGTTCATATTAAAAATTCTCAATATTTAGCACACCCACCTATGATGTTCATAGGTTTCGATTCTCCAATCATAAATCATATTTTAAAGGTTTATCACGTCACATTTAGAATATATACAGAAGTTTGTCAACCAAGCCACTCAAATTTCTAATATTATAAAACATATAACAATTCGTGATTCTCGAGTTAGGACAAACTCTTAAACAATTATTAGAGTCCAGATTATTGGATAGAAATACTTGATTATTGGATAAAATGTGTTTATCCCAAGTGAAACTTGACACACGCCATACTCCTTACGATGATCAAATTATCTAATCTTGACTCATTTTTATGTGAATGTTCATTAAGTCTCTGCTGAGGATCTTATGTCAAAATTTGTCTATCAAGACACTCAAATATAGTATCTTATACAATAGAGTAAATACAATTTATTAACCAAATCTTTCAAACTTTAAAATTATCAGCCATATCTTTCAAAATACAAAGTATTAGCCAAACGTTAACTCCCAGTTAGCATTTTTGTAAGCAAAATTTAATAGTTATACCTTTAAAAAAAATTGTATTTTAATTAAGAAAAGATTTAAAAAATTATTAAAAATAACAGAAAACTGGTTAATATTTTGATGCGATACAAAAGATTTGGTTAAAATATTGAAAATTCTGAAAGGTATAGCTATTAAATTTTATTTACTCAATTTGTACCAATTGCTAATTCTTGAAATTTGTATTAACCTTCAACCCATGGTTGTTGTCTATATGTTAGCTTGTAAAAATCTCAAACCAAGACACTCTCACACACTTTCAAGGGTTCTCGTCTTAACATGATGCTTTAGTGAATAACGTTCCAACTTTTTAAATGTGCATTTGCAAAATTTTCCTTATTTTTTGTGTTACTTCTGGAACAACAATTTGTATTATATATCTTAATAATTGATAAATCATGTCAACAACTACAATGCACATAGATATAGGTGCATTAAAAACGTCGTATCATTTAATGAATTAAATTTTTATTTTTTTGCCAAAGTTGATTAAAAAAAATATTAAAAATCATAAAAACATTGTGACATTTCACACGGATTAATTCTTGGATGTATTATAGACACATCTATTGTTAATATCTAAACGTATATAAAGAGTTTACTTTGTTTTGTAACCCTAATTAAGACCTATGAACACACATCGTTCAATGGAATATGCAACAAAATTTTGTGGATAAGATAACTCGATCTATATACATATTGCTTATGGTTACAAACTAACATTTTTGTTTTGACATTTTGATATGGTAAAATCTTTTTTTATTGCCAAAATTTGGTATGGAGTCACATACTCACAACCATGCAACCAAATGACTTATTAGAATTGTCTTGTTGATCTCATGCTTATAAAGATTCTTCATTTTTAACCTAATAGCTCGGTTTAGAGTCTTCTAACTATAAAGGCCTTTAATGTAGAAGAGATTCAACTATTAAACAAAAATTGTCAACCCATGTTTGATTAATGCTAGGTCAGTGGTTGATGAAACATAATGTTTATCGTACATCGTCAACAAAGATTTCTCTAATACTCACGTGCCATATAATACGTGTACATCATCAAGTTTCTATCCAGACATTTTACTATATAATACTTATTTTATTTTATAGATATATTAATTAGAAATAAGAGAAGGGATGACAATGGGGTGGGTTTGCCTAAACCATCACCATCCCCATTTTCAAATACCTAAACTCATACCCGCCCCATACCCATACGGTGAAAGGTTTTACAAACTCATCTCCATACCCGCTGTTTTCGGATACCCATGGCCATGGGTAATACCCGCCCCATCAGCTACTCACCATAAAAAATATGGGTACTACCTGCACAAAATT